AACTATTTCCTGCCTCCCCACATAGCCACATTCCTAAATGAGGACTAGCTGCAATTCTTACCCTGTGGGTAGGCAGACAGTCATCCAGAGGCTTGTGTGAAACTGGTGGGAAAGACAGGTAACCTGCTCTCAGGAAGCCAGAAGGCTGAAGATAAGTTCATCGCATCTCCAATCCCTCCTAGAGAATTAAACAAAGAAATGGGTCTGTTAAACCGAAAGAGTTTAAAGTCTGCATTTTCCAAGGAGTTCCAGCACCTGGAACTCAAGTCATTACTTAATATCTCCACCAGGTGGTGCCACACCACCGTGAAGCCGGTTTCCTGGCCTGCTCATGGTGCACCTTCGCCCTAGCCACTCCATTTAACCCAGCGATAATTCGGAATCATATTTTGCACAATTGAAACTTTAGACTCTACTTAATGTGCTATGGTGGGCTGAATAACTTTAATCTCACAGTTTCCACACAGATAGTATAATAATATTTCCATTTTACTGATTAGAGCCTGGAGTTTCAGGGAGATTAAATAGTGAACTATCTTGGGAAAGGTAAGTAAACTAGTAAGTGAGGAAAGAGGAATCCAACTCCACATACTCCGATCTTACCTTTGGTACTCTTCCTCTAACCCTAACTACCAATCTGGGGTGCAGGGTGGAGGGGTTACCCTTGCTTCAGTTAGATACTTGGTAACATTTTTTTCCAAACTCAACCTTCTTCTTTCTTTTTTCTTTGTCTTTCTTTCTTTCTTTCTTTCTTTCTTTCTTTCTTTCTTTCTTTCTTTCTTTCTTTCTTTCTTTCTTTCTTTCTTCCTTTCCTTTCCTTTCCTTTCCTTTCCTTTTCTTTTCTTTTCTTTTCTTTTCTTTTCTTTTCTTTTCTTTTCTTTTCTTTTCTTTTTTGAGAGGTTTTTGCTTTAGGGTATGTGCGCTCGCCAGAAGGAAAGAGAGAGACAGAGAGACAGAAAGTGAGAAATCACCCCCCAGGGGGGATGACCATGCCGCAATCTGTTCTCCTCCATTTTCCTCTTGGGATCTTGGGCACGCATGCACATGTACCCGGCATGAGTTTAAGTCACCAGGTCTGGGACTTGAACCACGGTCGACTACATGGGAGTCCAGTGACGCAGCCATTACACCAGTTGCTGGTCTCAAGCTCAGCCTTATTTGAATGTTTTTGTTTATCCAGGTGAGGGGAGATGTCAGTTGAGCCATAGGTCCCTCCCTGGGTGGGGGGCGGGATGGAGGAAAGAGAGGGATGATGGTTCATCCCATTCCCAGAAGATATAAAAAGACCAAGTCTGAATAGGTTCATATCTCAGGAGACCACTGTCTGTTCGGGGAAAGAAAGATGGACCATCTCAGTAGACTCATTGGAAGATCATTGAAAGCACATGTCTACCTACCCCTTGGGTAAACTTAGCTATTGGTAAGTTAGGCCCTGGAATATAAAAACTCTCTGTACCTCTCAGACTGGTCTGGGATGAGGTCTTCCCGCCTCCCTTCCTCTAGGCCTCCTTCATCTTTGCTTCATTACACTTTGTTCACATCACATTGTAGCACTTGTCATATTTGGCAAAATGTGCGTTTGTTTACATGTGCGTATCCTAAACTTACTGATTTATTCATGAGCAGAGGATTATGTATTATGTTTTCTTTGCTGCTCATTGACTATGACATATAACTAGATTTTTGTCCATTTCTTTGGGGATTCACTTTAAATCCAAGGTAACGATGTGACCAGTCTTGCTATCTAATGGATATAAGTTTATAGTGCCAGCTTTAATCTAGATGAACTCACTCCTGGGATTCAAGCATGGTTTCAGCACTGAAGATGAAATGCTAAAAGCTATTCATAACCCATCGTTAGCCATCCAGGAGAGCACACATCCTAAGAGAAGAGTTAGATTGAAGGGGCCAGCAGGTGGTGTGGTGGTTAAGGGGCTGGACACTCCCACATGACTGACCATGGTTTGAGTCCCGGACCTGGTGGCTTGCTTTCTCACTTTCCTTCTCTTTCTGTCCCTGTCTTTCTATGGTCAAATTAAAATAAATGAATGAATAAATACAATTAAATAAATAATTAAATGAAGAAGAATTAGAATGTAAAACGTGATCCAGTGGCTAAACAGTGGCTGCCAAAGTACACACAAGGTTCTAGGAGACATGATGTTCACTTTAGGCCTTGTCCTCTACTCGAGTCAAAAGAACTTCTCTCTGAATCCGAAGAATGGTATGTTAGGAGTGGTATATCTTTGGTCTGCCAGGAATAAAGATTATTCAGGTGGTCTCCAGTAATGTGGGTTTATTATAAGGTACACTAATAGTTCTCAAACTTAAATTGTTTCATGTTAGGGAGTTCGGTTTTACCAGGGAACATACTGGAAATGCAAATTCTTGGGTTCACCTTGAATCTGCTGAGTTAAAAACTCTGAAGATGGAGCCCAGCAATCTGTGCTTTATGAAGCTATTCTGGTGTTTCTGATGTCTACTCACATTTGAAAACTAGTGGAATAAAAGAGAGGAAGACATTTTTTAGGGTCTCAGCAACAGCCATGCCTCTCAGAGACATGGAGCGTCACTTGGGTATTGGAGCTTTATTTCGGATCCATGTTTTCTTAGCAGTAGGAATTGATTACCTTTTGTTTGAATGCTTCAGCATAAATGAGATTCAGATTCATGTTAGAAATTGAAGGGGGGTGCGGGTAGTGGCACAGAGGTGATGTAACTGGGTCCATATGGGGAAGATCCTGGATGCATGTCCTGGGACCTCCTTGCGCATGCCAGGTGGATGTGTGTGCCTGTGGTGTAGGCCATGAGACTGCCCTGATCATGGCATGAGGACTCTGTTAGGGGCGCATCTCCCTTTATCTTCATTCTGTTTCTTTCTCTTATGGAAAGAATAAACTTTGAAGAAGAGAGAAATTGAAGGGAGGCTTTAATGCTTGTAGATAGTACATAGCCTAGCATCTTAGGAATTCCCAAATCCAGCTCTGCCAATTACGCATGTCACATGGGAACAGTGGGGCATAGCATGTGATGTGGGTTATCACTTGATTAAAAGTGAAACCAGCACCCAAAGTCTCCCCAGGCAGGGCTCTGGGACTAGTTGGGTCGGAGTGTACAGTAGACCTAGGCAGAGTCCACACACCCACTGGCCAATCTGTCCATGGTAGACGCTATCAATCGCCTATGCAGTACCAATTCTTTCCCGTTGATTGCCAACAGGAACCATGTGTTTATTGGATAGGTCAGTATTCCCCAACTTAAAACAACAAAAACAACAACAGAAAAACCCCAGCATTTCCCACCTTTCTCTTAGCTAGGAGTGGCCAATAAAACTCTTAGTAATTGTGTAGAGTGGCTTCTATTCATGCCTAAAGTTGGGTATTATGGTTGGACTCCCACCTCGAGGGAAAAGCCAGGAGAATCTCAAAGTCCTCACCCTAAAATAATCGAACAGCTGAAACCATACCAGGGAACTACTCTGCTCCAGGCCTCCTCTGTGGGGAAGGCAACCTCATTATGTCCTTAAGCCACAGAGCTTTGGCCACTATTACTGGAAACTGAATGTAGTAACTAACTGCTCCAATATGAAACCTGTACGTTGGGATGAGAATAGCTAGGTAGAGAAACAGAGAAGTCGAAGGAGAGGTAGAGAAGGAAAAGAAGAGGGAAAGA